TGTAGATAAGGTAAAATTAAAATTTTTTTTTTTTTTTTTTTTGCGGCAAAAATTTCAATAAATCTATAATCATAATATATGATTATTCATATTCTGTAATTACTAGGTACTTTTACATCTCGATCCTAAAGAATTTACTGTGGAACCAAGTACGTTACAATCGTTACAACAATTGATTCAATGGGTCGCAGATCTGGCTTTAAATCTTCTGGCTCGTCTTCCAGAACAGAGATTGCAAATGAAGTCTGGCGGTGTTAGTATTGGAAATAAATTCTGAATAATATATTGGTCAAAATAGCATAATTGTATTAATTTTTTTTTTTATGTGATGCAGTATGAACTTCTGAAAGATCATAAAGCCTTGAATACATTAAGAGAATTGCTTGTGATAATACGTATATGGGGTTTACTGCGTCCTTCGTGTCTTCCAGTATTTCTTCGTAGTGCTGATAATCTCGATGTACTGGCCTTATTATTCCGTTTATTATCAAAATTGATTCAACCAAATGGTGATGGTCAAACTCAACAAATAGATGATGGTCTAATTGGTAAGTTCTTTCATGATATATATAATATGTATCATATATACAGTAATATAAATATTAATGTAATATTTATATGTGTAATAAAATTGCGATATAATATTTATAAATAATCGTTTATTATGATATTATTATTATTATAATAATCGTTTCAAGTTTATCATTGATATTGGTCGGAAGTAAGATAAAACCACATCCTCGTATTTAAAAAGGAAATTGTAGATTTTTTCGTGGCGATAAATGTATAGAGTAGATATTATACGCCAGTATGCATAAAACATATCGTGCGATAGTATTATAATTTTTAGATTTCTATTAATTTTAATTTTTACTTTTTGAAATGAATGATAAATTTGCGGTAAAACATACAAACTCAATAAGTTTAAAAAAACAAAAATTGTTATTGAAGGAAAATGAATCGAATAATTGTTTCCCGTATTCGAAACCATATAAATTAGTTATATTTTGTATTGTATCATGTTGTATATTTTTTATTTATTGGTTCATATTGACACCTCTTTTAATTAGTGCTTTTGCCAATCATTATTCAAGCAAGATTGAAATTTGGTCAGGTAGTCTCGTTTTATATTGGCTCATTGCGTTTCTAATTTGGCTTTTCATTATGTTGTGTTTGATTATCATTTGGAAATGTGACGAAATTAAAAGCAACAATAAAATAAAATTGCAATCTTATGGTACGAACAGTACTCTGAAATCCGGATCTTTAATCAATACTAAACTTGATTATTCGCAAAATACGAAACTGAAAGATAAACCATTGAATGATTTAATTATTGATAAGAATAAAATTTCACATAATAAATTAAATATTAATAATTCTGATGAACTTCGATATAACAAACTTAAAAGATATAGAGATCTTCCACCTTTAGTGATTCATCGTCGTAATTCGGGTAATGATATCGAACATACTGGAATTGTGAATGTGAAGAAGAATATTAACGAAAGTATCAATGAGAATAACGAAGACGAATATCTATTAAAGACTGGAAACAATTATCTGAAAAATCAAAAAGAATCGATAAAAGATTATTTAAAATTGGTAACAGTTACTCCGCAAGATGAATTGGAGACAAAAACACCAAAAGAATCTCTTTCACCGAGAGAATTGTTTTTTATTGATCTTATAAGAGAAGCTGAGAAAGCTGAACAAAACAGAGAAAATAATCCTCAAGAAACTGAAAAGAAACATTTTTTCTCTGATGATTTTTCTCCAACTAAAAAAGATGTAAATAAAAATTTAAAAGAAGAGAAAAAATTGATAGAGAATTTAACAGATCACAGAACAACATATTTTATCGCGGATATAAAAAGTCCAAAAAATGAAAAAACTGAAATATTTTTAAAAATCGAGTCGGATTATGAATCAGCTAAAAAGTGGTCCATGAATTTAAATGATAGAAAACCAATTCTTATATTAGAAAATACTTCTAAAGATGAAGAAAATGAAAATTTGAAAGATGCTATTCTATAATTATTTTATTCGAAATATAATTAAATATTTTCTAGTTTGATAAAGATTTAAATTATTATTTTACTACTAGATATTAATTCCAAATATATTATCATAAGTATATATTGATTAAATTATAAATTATAAATTAATAATAAATAAGAATTGCAAAATAAAAGATACATTTAAAAAGATACATTTTTGATAGTGATTATTTTAAAATAGAGCAATGGAATGAAAAACTTGATAAAATATATTATTTCACTATGATAATGATTTACTTCCAGATGATTGTTGCTTGTTACCTAATCAAATTATGATACCTCAATTACATCAAGGCAATAGTTTAACAGCTATTGCTACACCTGTGCTTTTTTATCAAAATTTTCCTTTGCAGGTAAAAAAGTTTTTCAGTACTTTCTCTCTTCAATATAAAGAGCTTTTAATCCTTTATTTTTTTTAAATTATAGTTAGAATATAGCATAGAGCCAGAACAATTATTATTTGTACCTGAATTTAATCCAATTGAAGGTTGTATGCATAGTGGCCAAATTGTGGATGGTATAAGGCATTTGTATCTTGGAAAACAACCACTTCTTGTTAAGCAATGTACAAGGTATTATATATAATGAATAATAATGATTATGATATTTTCTTCAAGTTTTCTTCATATAAAATTTTATATTAATTAAAATTAAATTAAAATTTCAGGTGTGTTGGAAAAGCTCAAGTTCAAAATATGACAAGAACAGCTGCAATTAGAGCATGGGATCAAAGATGGGCACGAGCTTGTCGTTGTGGTGGTATTTGGCGAATTCATAAAGCTTATTCTTAAATAATTAAGTAATTTATAAAAATATATGTTGCGATTTTATACATGATAAAATGATAAGTTATATTAAACATTTTTAAGATATAATGTATTTGATATTGAACAAATTTCATTTCATATTCATGTAAATAATTTTTATTTAGATAGGTAAAATAATTAAATAAAATAATTATTAATTTTTATTATTTTTATTTATGAATACAATAATTTTTTTTTAAATTTTGCACCTAATAATTAATCCTTGAGCAAGTGCATTTGTAAAAATTCTTTAAATATTTTTTTAAATATAAATACGTATATATATATATATGTATATATATATATATATATATCGGAGGAAATGCAGAGACGTACTCCAATTTATTTTACAAAATTTTTCGTTAATCTATTACTGTTAATAAATTATTAATAAACAAATAATTTTTAAATTACACATATATTGTTATTTCATAAACTACGGAATTTTATTATATCGTTACATAATTATGGAGAGTCTGAATACATAAAATGCATGTATAAACCATAAGAAACAACAAAATTTTAATATTATTTTTTTTAAAATAAGACGGCCATTGAAAGTTTATTTGATATAATATACTCTTACAATTCTTTATTTGTTGTTAATGACTTTCTTCTTTCTTACCATTTACTCTTTTGAACTCTCCCATATTTATTGTTGAAATTGGTGAGCCAAATATAGCTAAATAATCAATCCTTGTTACTTCATTACCAGTTTGATTATCTTTTACAAAAATTTGTATATTCTGTACATTTTGGAATTTCACATAACGCAAGGCAATTGGATTACCTTCTTCAATATCCTTTGCTGATAATCTACACAAAAAAAAAAATAACATTATTAGATACATTTTATAATATATTAAATAATATAAATAATATAAAAATGATGAATTTACGTTAAATCTTGGATGCTTGTATTAGAATCTGCCATATCAAAATCAATTGTTCTAGGTTGATTAATAAACAATTTAATATTTTTTGGTCCCTTGTCTTTGGGAGCTTTAATCTTTAAAGAATGTACTTTAACTGCTTGTGAAAATGCAATAGATAATATTAATTGTTCATCACATTCACTTTCCAAATATCCATCATCAGCACTCAAGCATTGTAAGAAATTGTGATCATCAGATTCATTTAAACATTCAGATTGTGCTTTTGTAATGAAAGTAGCTAGATCCATCTGCAAAAGATATATAGTTGAGAATAGTTGAGAAATTTTTGAATCATATATTTAGTATCTTTATTTCTAATATTTTTATATATAACAAAGTTGGGTACAGACATCCAGGGAAATATATGTATGTAAATAATATTTTTTATTAAGAAGAGAGTGAAAACATCTAAATGTGGTACAAGTTTTATATTTTGAATATATATAATCAATTTTGTGTAATGATATTTACAAAATATTATAAAATTATGAATACATGCAGTTGATAAATCAATATGGTTTATATATTTTAATTGATGACATTTTTTTTTTTAATTAATGAATAAGTTATAATGTTAATATCCACTGAAAGAAGGTTACCACAACTTGTTTATTGGTACTTATTCCACAAATACAGAACTGCAGCAAGAAATATCATTCCAAAAATATGGTAATAAACATTATCACTATTTCGTACATGTCCAGATACTGGACTCTCAGAATCCTCTAAATCTCCAGAGCCATAAAATTGTAGAATTTTTGATTCCAATCCAGTTGGATCAGCTCCTTGACATAATCCCAATTTTGTTTGGTTACGGTAAAATATAAATGTGGGCATTGCACTAACTCCTTGCATAGCAGCAGTTTCTGCACATTTGTCTACATCAACTTTAAGGAATACTGCATTTGGATATTTAAGTGATAGTTGTTCAAATATTGGTGCAATTCGCTGGCATGGACCACACCTAATTTAAAAATTAATTTAAAAATTACTAAATTAACATTATATTAAAATTTAGGAAAAAAAATAAAAATTATTTTGTTTGCCTTAAATACTCATTGAAATTATTATAATATCAATTATAATTATATTAAAATGTTATTAATTCGAAATTGAAATATAAAATTAATATTTTTCATTCAAATCAAATTAATAAATAAATGTGTAAATATAATATATTAATAATACTAATATAAAAATATTATATTTTTTTTGGCTATTAATACTACAAAGTAATAATTATTGCTTAAATGTTTGAGTATAAAAGAAATATAAAAATGAATAAAAATTTAAAAACTAAATAGGTTTATACAGCAAATATGGAAATCGAAGTTTTCAGATTTTAGTAACCTTTCATTTAATGTAACCTTAAAAAGCTTACCATGTTGCTGTGAAATCAACTACCACCAATTTTGTACCCGCACTAGCCATTTCTCCATAAAATTGGCCATCATCATTGATTACGCGTACAGCTCCCATTGTATTTTTTTAATATGATCTAATACAACATGAATGACGACAAAACGTTTCAACTATTATCAAAATGTTGAATGACTGGCACTTTGAGCATACAGAACCGCGTACTCGAATGCGTTTAATTTTTATGGCTAATTTACGTTAAAATGATTCAGGTTTGCGATTGGAAACTTACATGAAAGCTTTATATATAACATAAAACTTTATATATAAAATAGTTGGATGAATTGAAAATGCAACTAATGCTACAATATATGAAAATGCGACTTAAATTTAATCCGCCAATAATAAAATATTTTCAATGAACTTTTCTAAATTATTTTTCTAAATATATTTATTTGTATTATTTATATTATATTTGTTTTTTATTATGTGTATCTATATTATGTTCGAGATATGAAAATATTTTTTATTGTATATCTTTTTACAAAAATTGAAATTGCATTTGCATTCATATTATGCTCATATTTCGATTGCTTCATATTTCTTCCTCGAATCGAATTCATTTTTTCTCTCATTAAAAATTATAATTTAAAATAAATTATAATTTAAAATGAATATTATAATTGAAATGAAGAAACATTAATTTAATTTTCTGATCGTGTGCAATTGGAATAATTAAAACATATTATATAATACTTTAATTTTCGCGCGGATTAAATAAGAAAATGGAGAAATTCTAACCAATTAGAAGATTGCTAAGATTTAGCAAAATGAATCATTGCGCATCATAATGCGCATGATGTCAGTATAGAGTTAAAATTATGGTGACAAGTTGCATTTTACCGGTTGTGTATAATTACGTAAAATTTTTATTAGATAGATTATTATATTACAGTTATTAAGTTTAAATAAAAATTATTAAGCTTTGTTTAATTAATATATGTTTATTTAACTTAGTTATTACACTAAATTTGATTTGAATAGTGTTTTAAACTTTTATCATAAAAGTGTAAATTATCATTTAATTGGAATTTCAAAAGCGGGATAGCTTCGAAAGTTTCTGCATATATCATGAATTAAAAGATAATTCAATAATATTCATACAAATGTGGTAAGATTTTAATAAAAACATAATTAATATACATTTTTTTTATCTTTTCATTCACATGATGGAAATAGTTAAATTATTATAACCGATTCATATACATATTTTATATATAATTGTGTCTTAAATAAGTCTATTTGTATATTTCTTGATTTATGTATAAGATTGAAAATATATCTTATGATTTCTAAATTGACGGTTCACGTTTATGCCATGCTCAACAAGTTTCGATATGTCGATTATTGAGCATATTCCTCAATTTGTATTTCGATATATCGAAATCGCGAGATGTCATTCTTTTCTCTAAACTTGTGACGATTAGACGTTTCTTTTCAAGTATGTGATTTACTTATTCTATAATATTTATTTATATATATTACTATTATTTTTTTTACTTTTGTATTATTATTTCATTAATACGTGTTTGTTCAATTATTTATAAAATGTTAATATAGTTAACAGTTATTCTTTGGAGAATAATTTATTTTTTATTAATTTATTTGACTATTAGAGTTCCAGTTCGTATTATGATCTTCTAAAATTAAATTAGGAACTTAAATTAGATTATATTTTTGTTTTACAATATAATTAATCTTACATTTTTTATACATTTCTTTATATTACTTTTATACATTTCTTTTAGAGATTTAATTTTCTTTTATGCAGATAATTAGCTGATTGCTGAAATTACTTTAGGCGGGAAAAAGGATTTTCAATATGGACGCTATAACGATAATTTGTTTTATGGAGAAGAGGTAAAATTTGAGTTGCTATATTGAAAAAAGATATATATAATTTTTTACTTTTATTGAATTACTAGTAGTAATATCATTATAGTTCTATAATTTATTATTAATATATATATATATATATAGTTATATAATATATATAATACATATAATAATTTATATATATACATAGTAATATTATATGTATTGAAAATATCAAAATGATAATAGAAAAATTTTCAAATATTTCTAATATGCAATAAGAATATGTCATTAATTCTAATTATTATTATTAATTCTTTTATATTATTATAATTATAATTAATTCTTTTAAAAGGAGCAGTATTTTTCTAAACATATATATTGATAGGAAGAAAAAAGAAAAATGAGAATATATATTTTTTTTTTTCATTTTCTATATCCATTAATACTATTGTTATTTTGTTTACAGATTATTGTGACTACGTGCAATGTAGTTATTAGAGTCAGTGTTTACGTAATAATGTTTTTAATATTTTTTAGAGCACAATAGCTCTCATTAAATTTGATAATAATAGTTTTATACGAAATAGAGTCAGTGCTTGTTCGTCGATTGTACAATGATAAACGGACGCGTACTTACTTAATACTTTTTTATTATTTTTTATTTTTTAAATATTCGTTTTCGGTTATATAGAATCAGTGTTTCTTTTAAGAATATATAAGGCGATTATCGATTATGCAAAAAGGTAATTGTTTTTATATAATTTTTTACCATTTATTTTATTCTTTGTATTTTACTTTAATTGTTAATAACAATGTAAAGAAAATTAATATTTCAAAAAATTAAAATTTCAAATTCACGTTTTGTTACAGATTTTGTCCCAGTTTTGAGGTTTTTATACAATGATTTTCTTTTTAATCAAAGCATCATCAATGGCAACGCACGTACTTCGTATTCATTGGTAAGTCGTATACATTCTTGTTTTTCTACTCGTTCAATCATATCGTAGTAATCATAGAAAGCACAGACTAGATGTAAGATCTTTTATAAGATTTTTTATATCTACTCTGTGATGAAAGATTCGAATTAGCGCGAGCGACTCAGAATTTTTATATTGGATTGACTATCAGCGCCATCTCGTAGCAGTTAAAGATATTTCTTCAAAAGCAAAATAAAGTAGGTAAGAATTAAAGACTAGAGCCATCTTTCGAGTACTTTTGAAAATATCTTTTTATTCAACTCAAGAGATGGCGCTAATAGCAATTTCTATCCTATTTATTTCTCTTTTCATTATTTGCTTTCCTTATTTACATATATTTTATTTGCGATATTCAAGAGATGGCGCCACTAGCAATTTTTGTCTACATATATTTTATTTTCGATACTCAAGAGATGGCGCCAGTAGCAATTTTTATTCTATTTATGTTCTCTTTCTATTATTTGCTTTCCTTATCTACATATATTTTATTTGCGATACTCAAGAGATGGCGCCAGTAGCAATTTTTATTCTATTTATGTTCTCTTTCTATTATTTGCTTTCCTTATCTACATATATTTTATTTGCGATACTCAAGAGATGGCGCCACTAGCAATTTTTATCTACATATATTTTATTTTCGATATTTAAGAGATGGCGCCAGTAGCATTATGTTCTCTTTCTATTATTTGCTTTCCTTATCTACATATATTTTATTTGCGATACTCAAGAGATGGCGCCAGTAGCATTATGTTCTCTTTCTATTATTTGCTTTCCTTATCTACATATATTTTATTTGCGATACTCAAGAGATGGCGCCAGTAGCAATTTTTATTCTATTTATGTTTTCTTTCTATTATTTGCTTTCCTTATCTACATATATTTTATTTGCGATACTCAAGAGATGGCGCCAGTAGCAATTTTTATTCTATTTATGTTTTCTTTCTATTATTTGCTTTCCTTATCTACATATATTTTATTTGCGATACTCAAGAGATGGCGCCACTAGCAATTTTATCTACATATATTTTATTTTCGATATTCAAGAGATGGCGCCACTAGCAATTTTTATCCTATTTATGTCCTCTTTTATTATTCGCTCTCCTTGTCTATACTATTCTTATATGTAATACTATATATTTAAATAATTATTTTTAATTTTATTTAAAACTTTTATTTACAAAGGTTGAAAAATATATAATAGATACATTAATAATGATAAATATCAATAACATTATCTTAAAATAAATATTCATTATCGATAAATATTATAATTTTTATGGCAATTCAGACTTTCAAAATTATTGAATATATTATTATTTATATATATATATTATCAACATATCGGTACTATAAATCGACCAAATAAAATTTTACCTTTTCCAAACTTGACGCCTAAATAAATTTTGCATCGGGGACAATAATGTACTACATCTTTATATCTAGTCGTAATATATGGTATTATACACATGCTAAAATTTATTTTCGTTTTCTTTGAATATTCAATTATTTTTATTCGAATACTTTCTTTTTTTTTAAATATAATACTCACCAAATTGGGATAAAAGCTGTAGCTATAACACGCGTTGCACCAGTAGTATGATGATGAATTTCTGTTTTTATGTAACTTAAACAATTTGGACATGTTGTTACATATGGATATTTACCGAATTCCGTGTGTTCTGTGTCGAATTATAAACTTATTATATTACAATATTATTAATATTCATATTAATTATCATTAATATTATAATTTATCATTATTCAATATAATAATATTATTTTATCAGCATATATTTTAAAATTATAATTAAAGCGAAAAATGATAGCTATCGATCATTCGTAAAAGTAATATTTTTTTTAATTTTACTTGCCTGAAAACGAATGAGGAATTCTATGTAAATGTGTCACTCTTTCAAACAATTTTCTAAATTTTTCAAACTTTTTAGGAAACTTAATTTTAGAACGCCTTTTTTCAAAATCGTAAAAAAATTCACTTATACGATGCCTTATACCTTCGAATTTATAGGGTGGTGGGTAAACATCTAGAAAATAAAACTTTCATATAATTTTCACAAGAATAGATTTGGAAATGTTTTAAAAAATTAAATTTAGAAGTTATTTAACAAAAAAAAAAAAAAAAACTTAAATATGCAGCAGCAAATACAGTCTTATCTTTCACGAGGATTATTTTATTCATTAATTTTAAACGCCTCTAAACATACGCAAGATTTTTCTCTCGTCTTCCTCTTCGTATTCCTCGATCATGTTAGGTTGAAAACTTTTCTATTTCTTTTTTCTTTTTATAGAAGATCTATTTATATCTGAAAATTCAAGGAATCGTTAAAACAAATTTCAACAAGTGCAAGTCAAATTTCGAGATAAGCGATGCTCTCCATTTGTTTGAATTTTTTAATTTACCTCTTTCTCTCTCTCTCTCTCTCTCTCTCTCTCTCTCTCTTTCGGTACTCACCATCAATTCTTTTTTTTTCTTTCTTTCTTTTTTACCCTTACGTTTCTGTGCATCGATGTTAGGGCAAGGAAGGATCGCGTTATCAATCAGAGGCAGGAAGACGGGATGTCGCGACGGCGCGAAATTCGCATGGTCGTTGAATAGGGAAGGAAGGAAGTGGGAAGGGGAGGGGAGGATGAGGAGGAGGGAGTCTACGAAACGTAGTAGTCAGGTTGGAAAACGATGAAACGGTGTACCTATTGTCCGGGGTGGCCGATTGTGAAACAAGGGGTGGGGGTGGTAATGCGGCTTTCAAAGGAAGCTCGAACACTTGACCCCCGTGATAATCAATGGCCCCGATTCACCTAGCGCGGGTTTAATTTTACTAACCCTCGTCGAGAATTGGCGGCACCGTGCTCGAACGTTGGGAATCAATTAGGTGGAGGATTCGTGGCCGATTCGAGTGGGTTGCTCTCCGAAGTTTTGCTGCAATTTTCACTCACTTCGCGTCTTGGAAAATCGTCGTGGAAAATATGATACGTGATACGTGATCAAGAGGAATCAATTTGAAATTTCACTCGATTGATTCTTCGATATCTCGACCGGATATCAAAATTTTGACCACCCTCCCCGAGATAGTGCACGACGGAAGTGCAATTGCCATCGATTGCCTTCTTTAAACGACGAGGTTTAAATCATTAAATCATTTGATCTGAACTCCTAAAATACACTCGCGATCTGTAAATTAAAAAGCTTCGTCTCGAAACGAAACGAATCTCCAAGGATTAAGTTTTTAGAGGATACGTTTCTCAGAGAGAGAGAGAGAGAGAGAGAGAGAGTGGGTGTCGTTTAATTAATAAATACTCGATAAAGAAGGAAGAGGGGGAGAAAGAAAGGAAAAAGAATAAGAGGCACAATTGGGTGTATTGAATAGATAGGCGGAAGATAGTGGGATGTGTCGGAGGCGTAGGGGATATCCAGCTAAGAGAAAACCATTGTCTGGGAAACGTGAACACTATTTGCCGGCAAAGTAGATTAGGTCGGTATTGATAGAGAGGGGAAGAAAGAGAAAGGGAAAGATGGCATGGCGGAAGGACGGGAGTAAGAGGGTGGAACTAAAATAGAGAGAGGGAGAGAGAGGTGAGAGACGAAAGGAAGGAAGATGATGAGAAGAGAGGGATGAGAGAACGGTTGTGTTCTCAGAGAGAGGCCAATATAGACGCTCGAGATGGGATATAGCAATAGAATTTCGCTTACGAGGTATAACCGCGTTAGACGATGCCCTTTGTTGTATCAGTGCGCAATTGCCTTAAGTTCTGATCTTGTCCGATATTGATGTTCGAGAGGCCGGTGAAACCTCTGATAGGATACTAAGAGTTCTATTCGCTTTCGCTCCTTTCCTTACCGTGTCCGGTTAGTTACCAACTTTCTATTTTTCTTCCTTCTCCTCCTCCTCCTTCTCTTTCTCCTTCTTCTTCTTCTTCTTTCTTTTTCTAATTCCCTTTCGCTTAATTCTCAAATCGATCGATGAATTTCATTCACCATTCGATCGCTTTTCGTTAACTTTCGATCGAATCTCTCTTGTGAAAAATTCAATTTTGATTATCTTGCAAATATTGCAAGATATTATAGAAATGTGAAAATTTTTTTTTTAAATAAATACCTGTCGTAAAAATGAATTTCTCGATTTAAAATTGCATTAAAATAGCATCTGTATTTTCTCGAAGAGAAAGAATCTTAATAATCGAAATTTATTTTATTATGTGCTAATAGAATTCAATTTTATTTAATGGGTAAATGTATATACCAGAAATAACAATTTCACAGCGCATTTCTACCGAATAAGTAGAAACGTAGAATCCCGGAAGTCGGAATGTTGTAATTGAAGTACATTCAAAGTAAGGGAATATCGTTACGTTACACGTATATACGCAGTCCCCAAGGGAGCTCACCTAATTCTCCACTCTTAACTTCATATCGCTTTATCTGGCATTTTAGGGTTGAACTAGGAACTGGTATAGAGATGCCAGACAGTCCGATATTCGACCATAATGCTGAATTTAATTAGGTGTCATTGCTCCAGTTTCCATAATAATTCTCTTTCCCCGTCTTTCTTCGTTTCGCTTCCTTATCGAAAATCTTGTCTTTTTCTTTCTCTCTCTTTTTCTGTCTCCTTCGCGAGCAAACGAGTATTTTGCT